CCAACCCCACCCCCCGAGGGCCCCCCACCCACAAAAATCTTAAAGATGGGTGCACTCAAACACCCAAACCCCCCAGGACGGAAGGCCTGGCTGGGGAATTCTGGGAGTTGAAGTCCACCCATCTTAAACTTGCTGAGGTTGAGGAACCCTGCAACGGGGATCGGCCCAGCCAGCAGCCTGCCTTTGGCATTAGAAAGTTACTACCCCTCCTTAATGCTTAGTAAGGTCTGGAACTAATATCTGAAATAGTTTATACATGATCAAATTGTACTATTCCACGTACAAACCACATATGCTTCCATTCGCCACAAATTTCCTTCCAAAAACAAATAAAGCAAAACAGAAACCAGGGAGAAAATAGCGGTGGAATTTCTAAACATTCACATCTACTCAAATGCTGCCTCCCAGAAACTTCAGGATTTCCAAAATTTCACAATAATGTAAGATCTAGATGACTGGACAACTTGGGGTACAGCCCATGTTTACAGGAAAATTTGCCCAACCTGAGCTCCATCCACTTCGGTATTTCCCCACAGGCCTGCAAAAATTCCAGTGGAACGTCAGGCGACAGACTTGCCAGCCAGAAAGCAAAGCGCAGAGTCTTGAGTGGGGCAGGGGACGTTGTTTGCAAGTGACAGGCCCATTCCTCACACTCTTTTCCAGCTCTTCAAAGTGATTTTTCAGAGGCTAAACTAATCTTTTCCTACTGATGCCTTCAGCTATGGTGAACAACTCCCTTAATCCCCTACCAACACAGACTTTAGCCCTCCGAAATGGCATTCTGAGCGCTGTAATCCAAGGCGTCAGATGGGAGAAGCTTGAACGAGAAGACGGAAGCCCAACGCGGCGTCCCTTGCTCAAGAGAAGACGCACGAGACAATCACATCACACCCACAAGCACAGCAGCGCCTAAGAGAGAATCTACCAGGGAAGGGAGGAGAAGGGAGGGAGAGGGCACGGCCCTCGGAGGCCCAAGCTGGTCAGCCGGTGTCTGGGTTGTCGCCCGATCACAAAGCATCGAAGGCTTTGGGAAAACAGGTGGTGGGGTGGGGAGTCTAAATACAAGGAAGAGTGTGGTGACCCAAATGACCCCACACACAAATGCTGCCCCGAGGCACCATCTTTGGGGAGATGGGATGCAGGGATCTTCCTAAAAAGCCGAAGCCATGTCTCCAAAGTGGAGGAGACCCCACGCTCCCCTTCCCCCAGCCCCCAACAAGAGTATTGCCTTAATCAAAGAACGCCCTTGCCGACCCCCCTCCCCAGCCCTTTCTGCCTCCCCAAGAACGCAGCTAAGTGCCAGGACTGCAGCCATCTGGAAGCACACGGAAGATCTCTTTCCTTTAAAGCAGCTTTAAGTGCCAAGGCAAATCCACAAGGGAGGGGTGGTGGCAAAAGGGTAGTTTTGAAGCCGGGCGGGGGGGGTGGAAAATGTCAGCCCTTGCTTTGGGAGGACTCGACCAGCAGTGCAGTCTTTACAGTGCATGCGGTCACTGCTGAACACTGAACGCCCAGGACTGGAAGCAGACCTCGTGGCGGGGCTGCCCCAACTGTAGTGTTGCTCACCAAACGCCGAGCCGAGCAGAGCTGGCAGCTGTGGGGGCTGCCACTGCAAAAGCGGGCTGTGCCTCTGCGGGGGCAGAAAAGTCTGGTGTGACCTGGTTTCTTTCCCGCTTGGCACTGCCCGGCCTTCCCCAGAATTTCTCCCTGGCAAGGCTTGGAATTCTCCGCCAGGGAATTCTGCGCCTCGGTTAAGGTGATGCAAAAGGTCAGAGCAGCACTCGCAGGTGACATTTCATACGCTGCAAACAATCATCAGTACACAGAGAGACAGGAAAAAAGGTAACCTCAAACAGGGATCGGGGTCAACATGACCTAACTCAGATCAGCTTATTGCCACGTCAGTCTTTGTGTGTTTTAGGTAATCAATTGAAAAGAGAAGAATCCAGAACCAGGGACAATTTCCTGCTAAAGGAAACAGCAATAATGACAGGGTGATTCCCGCGCAGAAACTTCAGGAACCTTTAGAGAGCTCCAAGCAAAACACTCGTCTTCTGCCCTGATGCACGACCCCGTAACATTTGGCAGAAGATGGAGGTGGAGATCCCGCATCCGGGTTCCTGACAGTAGACCCCCCCAGGGGGGCTTCCTTTTCAGTAGGCATATACAGGACCACGCAAACTTTTTTGTATACATGTAGCATCTCTAAATGTTAAAAGGGGGGAGGGGGAGAACTCCTCTGTATATTCATTATTTAGTGTCTTCCCCCTGCCTGAAACACTCCATATGTCAAGGCTAGCCAAGCAAGGAATATTTACAAATATTCCAATTAGTTGTCCAAGAATATCAAAGTCTGTTTGCAAACCCTTGGGAGTTTGCAGGTATTCCAAAAGAAGAAAGAAAAAATGTTTCCATGATTTATCTCCTCTTCCCCTCCAAACTGCTAGCGTGCAGGCCAAAGGAGAAAATGTTTCTTTGAACAAACACAGGATGGCAATTTTGGCAAAAAATTACTTGAACACTGATGGCAAATTGAAAAAAAAAAACAACAACGCAGCACAGACGGGTCCATTACAGAGCTCAGCACAAAAGGCATTGCGGGCCTTTTGCTTCTCTGTTTCTAAATGCTAAAAATTGCCAAGAGACATTTTGAACAAACGAACAAAAAGTAGCACAAGCCCTATTTCACCACTCCTTCCCCCCTTTTTTTTCTTTTTTAAATCTTAAAAAGCCTTAGTGTGCCCTCCCTAACCCTCTGAGACCTTAAGACCCAATTAGGTCTTTTTACACCGTACACACACACACATATATATATATATAATATATATATATATTATATATATATACATATATATCTAAAACAGACAGCATACAATAACGTAGTCCTTACAGTCAAAGCAGATCAAAAGGGGGAAAGAACAAGGCTTTCTTCCAAGAGACGGGATCCCACGCAGCGTCTAAAGCCTTGAGGGCAAGGCTGCGGGCAGCGTCTTCAGCGGCACCCGTGCCAGAAATCCCTCCAAGGCACCCTGGCCTTCCAGCCTGCCTCGCCGAGCACATCGCACCTGCACCCGGAAGGCTGCGAGCCCAGAGCCGAGCCGAGCCGAGCCCACGGCAGCTGGCAGGGCAGCGGTCTTTGGCCCCCAGTGCGGTTAGGCTGTAGCAAGCCCAACGCGGCCGGGTCGTGGCCCCAGGAGGCTGGGAGGGCAGGTGGCGCGGGGGAGAGAAGCCCCACGCCCCGCAGGCGAGTGGCCGTAGGTCCAACGGAAATGAGCGCTGCGTTTATCCCAGACTGGAGAGATGCCTCGCAAGTGTATTCCTTAAAACACCCAGACAGACGCTCTTCCTCTAAACGAAAGGGGTTCGGAAACGAAGACGAGCCCAGTTTGTGCCGCTGGGACCAACCCTGCTCTCGCTCTAGCGGGTTCCAAGCAAGCGTCGGAACAAGGGAGGGGGGCGGGCAGAGGCGAGCGCTCAGCTGAAGCCCAAAAGAAGAAACGGAGCTGGTGGCGGCGGCGGCGGCGGCAGCAGCGTGTTGCTAGAGCGTGGCTGATCCCTAAGGCAGTGCTTCAGGTGAAACGAGAGAATAAGGCAGTGGCCCAAGTTCACGGCCCCTTTCCTAATCCCAAAGAGACGGGGATGCCGGTTTCCAAAGAGAAGCTCGGGGGTTCTGCTTCGAGGCCAAAGGTCACGTAGCCACAGCCTCCAGGTAACTCTGCAGCTTGCGGACGGTGGTTTCATCCAAGGAGAACAGGTCAAAATCAAAGGTTGTGTTGGTGACGTTGAAATGTCCCGTTTCTTCAATGAGGTTTACGATCTAGACCGGCAGGACAGTGTTAAAGTTAGACCTGAGTCTGCACGTCATGAGGCCCCACCACGACACGCTGAAATTTAGACCAGCCTGCAGCTACCTCCTTTCCTCTCTCCTCTGGGTCTCTGCCTGAGCCAATTCTGAATTTGGAATTGGCTATCGCTCTTTGCATCCACTTTACTCTGGGATGTGCCCCATACCCTCTGAATTGCACTGGGTGATAGCTTCTCAACGGGCTTCCTATGTCTGCCCTGACTGGCAGGCTAGGAGCTGTTCTCTGCCCGCCTCTACGTTTCCTGGAATTCCCTGGGTCTGCTGGCCCAGGGCACTGGGGATTCTGGGGGCTGCAGAGGCCAGGTTGGTCATCTGCCAGAGGCTCCTGCAGTGAGCTGGATTAGATGACCTTCAGAGTCACTTCCCACTTGGGGATTCTAAACACAATGCCTTCAAACTGGTCTTGCCCACGCTTCGCCTCCCAACGTGACGCTCCGTAATTATGGTGCAAGATGTCACAGGAGTTAATGCTTTCCCTGGGGGCCCTTGCCTGCTCTCGATGGCATTCCCCTTCATGTGGCATTTTTATAATCCTCCTTCAAGGAAGGAGGAACTTAGGAGAATCACATGATTACATGTAAAGGTAAAACCATGTATTTGACATTGTGCAGCAATTTAACGCTGCCTTTGGGATCTTGGGTTTATACTGGTTATTGCTGGACACAGCAACTGCGCAAGGCAATAGGAGACAATTCTGAAAATGTGTTTTTTCCCTCTGACTGACTGGACGGTGTCACTGCCAGACAGTTTGACTTGGGGAGCTGAGAAACGATCTTTCCCTCCCTCCTCCAGCAAAGCCAACCAGACTCGCTTCTCACCTGCTGCAGCACGTTCCGTTCTCGTAAAGCCATCAGCCGCCGGTGAAGCTCCACCAACTCATCCGTGTAGGCCGTGGGGGGGGGGGTGAGGACACAGGTGGAGCTCCGTCCTCCCCCCCCTTTGCCG